CTGGCTTGAGGTTATGGAGACGTTCCCCTAAAGAAGGGGAGAGGAGACTGAAGGCTGTTTAAGACAGGGCCATAGTCATTGTTGTGCTTGGCCTGAAAAAGGAGTACATGCCCACCACAGGGCATGCACTGTGGGGTCGGAGGGTCTCTGGGTTCACTTTAAAAAAAATTAATATAATAAATTTAATAAATAAATTTAATAAATTTATTTATTTTTCATTTTGACTGCATTGGGTCTTCGTTGCTGTGCGGAGGCTTTCTCTTGTTGCAGAGACGGGGGCTGCTCTTCGTTGCGGTGCGTTGGCTTCTTTTGTTGCAGAGCACCGGCTCTAGACATGCAGGCTTCAGTAGTTGTGGCTTGCGGGCTCTAGAGCGCAGGCTCAGTAGTTGTGGCACACGGGCTTAGTTGCTCCGTGGCATATGGGATCTTCCCGGACCAGGGCTTGAACCCGTGTCCCCTGCATTGGCAAGCAGATTCTTAACCACTGCGCCACCAGGGAAGTCCCTGGGTTCACTCTTGATTGTGCCCATGAGCTGAGGGTTTATTTTAGTGCAGGGCAAAGCCAAAGCCATGCAGACACAACTCTCTGTTGCTTTGCTCTTGCCTGGGCCACTCATCCCCAGGTCACAGGCGCAGGGATTGAGAACCTCCTAGCAGGCTCTGAGGTTGTGTTGTTGTTGTTACTTAAGTGAATTTGCGTGGATTCGGTGTCTGAAGGGTGGCATAAGGGACCTGCGGACTGTGATGGCCCCACAGTGCTGACAAGCAGGAGTCTTCCGTGGCTCACAAAGAGTGTCATGACTTTCTGCCCTGCCTGCAGAGAAGAAGGAGTGCCGGCGGGACCACCGACCCCCGTGTGCTCAGGAGGTGCCCCGAAACATGGTGCACCCCAACGTTATCTGTGATGGTTGCAACGGGCCAGTGGTGGGGACCCGCTACAAGTGCAGCGTCTGCCCTGACTACGACCTATGCTCTGTCTGCGAGGGGAAGGGCATGCACAGGGAGCACAGCAAGCTTGCCTTCCCCAGCCCCTTCGGGCGCCCTTCTGAGGTGAGTGAGACCTCCCTGTGGGCTCGGGGTGGGTGCAGGGTGGCAGGAGCCCCCTGACCTGGCACCACCCTGCCCCTCTGTCTACCCCTCCCCAGGGCTTCTCTCACAGCCGCTGGCTGCGGAAGCTGAAACACGGGCACTTTGGGTGGCCTGGCTGGGAGATGGGCCCACCGGGGAACTGGAGCCCACGTCCTCCTCGAGCAGGGGATGCCCACCCTGGCCCCGCTGCAGAATCAGGTGAGGCTTGTGTCTGCTGGCCTCTGAAGGGCGAGATGTGAGGGCTGGCAGAGCTGGAGGGCCTTGTCTGTGTCCTGAAATCCTGTGTGCCTATGGCTGGGCTGGGTACTTCATGGCCATTCCTGGCATTTAATCCTCACAAAACCCAGCAAAGTGTGGAGCATTATCTCCATTGTACAGGTGGGAAAACTGAGACGCCTAAGTGCCCAAGGCCACTAATGCACCTGCCCTTGCCCACCTCCTCATGCTGCCCTCCGAGGTGGTCCTCACGTATAGACGGGAGGCCCCCTCCAACACCTGCATCTCCGCAGTGTACTCCCTTCTCTTTTATGCTGTCAGGAAAGTCAGAGCCAAGTTTGCACCAGTCTTTTAAAACAGTCCCCAAGTCAAAAACTTACATATAGCTTGCATTCTGAACTTTTGGATTCTGGTTTTATTCTGATTTTATTAATCTTACTGTGTCCTTTGGTTCACTTCATCTTTAGAGACAAAGATGGGGATGTTTGATTCAAGTAAATAATATTTTATACTGTATGTACTGAGCCCCCTGCGGAGTACCTAGGCACCAGGAACACAGATGAAGGGGGAGCAGAAGGGGAAGTGGTTTGAAGGACGAAGGGGCCCAGGAGGTGGCCTAGAGAGGGAGGGAGAGAGGGAAGCACTGGAGTGTAGGCTGCTGGGACAAGGCCCCGGGGGGAGGGCTCCTGGGATGAAGGTGACAGGACTGCAACAGGTATCAGTCATTGAGAGACATGCTTTGAATTAAGTGTATCTTTGTTTTTGTTTCTTTAAAATCAAAGCTTCTGGTCCATCGGAGGATCCCAGTGTCAATTTCCTCAAGAATGTAGGGGAGAGTGTGGCAGCTGCCCTCAGCCCTCTGGGTAAGTGGTTGCCTTGTCGGTCCTTTGATATCAGCAGAGCATTTTGGTGGCCAGTGTGTAGGTGGCTGTTTTGTGGCTTTCACTTGGGATACTGCAGAGGAGCGGCAGCTGATGTGTGCTTGAGACCAGTAAAGATTTGTTGCCACATATCAAACTTTGCCAAGTGCTGCACCACAGGCCACTTGAAGTTGCATTCCCTGATAGATTCTTGAGCTTTCCACACGAAGTGTGGAATCAGCCAACGTTTGGTTGGAGTAATCCCACTAGGGAGGGTGACCAGGCTCAGTTGCAGGGCTGGCCTGTCATCTTCTGCCTGTTTGTCCTTTGGGAGAAGACCAGTCTATATTTCTCCTAATGTGAGTCTTGAGGTTTCTTCAACGACTTGGGTGAGTAGTTAGTTGAGATGCCATATTGCCTTTCCTCCCTTTTTGCACCCCCCAACCTTTCCTGGCGCTTCCTGAGTGCTGGTCTTATGCCGGTGCCGGAAAGAAAGGAGTAAGGGAGGAAGGTTCTCTGTGTGCCACCAGGTTCCCAGTGCGCAGGCCCAGGGTAGGTGTCTGGGTGGATGAGCCTCCATAGTGTGCCCGGCCTGAGGCCAAAAGCTCCAAGAATTTAGAAAGCACTTGCTGTGTTTTGGCAGCAAGAATCAGTTGATGAAGGTGATTATGATGAATCCATGATCTTGGACTAGAAAAGAGCTCATCTTTGTGACTGCAGTGGCAGAAAGTGCCCACCTGGTCTGTCCAAAAGTTGTGTCCATGTCTGAAAGAATGCTGTAGGAGGGTGCCCAGCCCCACCTGCCATCCACCTTGTGGCTCACAGAGCATGACTGCCATTGCTTCCAAACTGAGACCATTTCTGTTCACACTCATTGAAGTAGCTTTGAAGCAGCAGTGACATCTCGGTATTGCTGCTACCTGAAATAGCTCAATTCACACATGGTTTCTGTACTGGAGTTAAAGGTTCTTGAGAGAGTGAGGAAAAAGAATTGCTATATTTAATGCTTTCTAAGGAGGGTAACAGTGGAGTAGTGATGAAATAATTGGGAGATAGGTTATCCCTAAACCCTGCCACTCACTTAAGACACAAGTGAAAGACATAGTAGAATTTTAAGAAATTCCAACTAATGGGTTGCTACTTAGGGGCCATGGGAAGTTTTTCTCTGGAAGATAGTAAATGGACAGTGGTTCTGGCTGAGTTATCAGAATCACCAACAAAGGGTTGGGGTTTTTTTTTGTTTTTTTGGTATATAATTTGGTGTATGGAAACTATTAAAACTATTCTGAAGAACAAAATTTTTCACTAAAAGAATGAATGAGATGACCTGGGAAGTCACAATACCAAGTCTAGGTTCAGGCAGGGGACTTTAAAAGAGTGCAGAGTCCCAGGTCCCTTGATTCGGTAAGTGGGTCTTGGGTAGGGCCTGGGGTCTGTGTGTTCTGAAGGCTTCTCAGGAGACTCTGCGTCACGCTTGCTCTCCATCCCGAGACCCATCTGAGCTTATGAAGTGTTTCAGAACTTGACCTGGATTCCCTACTCAGGACACAAGTGCTCAGAGGTCTTTTGGGATAAGGATTAAGGCCTTTTCAGATCTTTCGAAGTGGATGGAGTTGGTTTCTACTAACTAGGGAGGAGCCTGGAACCCTACAAAACAAGAAAAGTTTCAGTAAAATATGCTTTTGAGTAATTTCCATTGACAAGAGCCGTTCGAGGAATGGGTTAACTCTGTTGGAGTTATGGGTATTTTCCTTTCTTATGAGGAACTAACAGGATGACTTACTCTGCTAACTGCCTACAAGGGACCATTTGTTCTCAGAGCATGGGCCCAGAGGGCATGTAACCACTGACACCCTCCCAGAGGGCAATGTGTGCAGAGTCAGTGGCTTTCAAGTGCAAACCTGAGGCCTTTTTTTGGTAGGTGCTGTGAGAGCCAGCTGAGCAACACCGTGAAGCCCAGGGTGGAGGTCGCAGTCACCGACACCTAGGATGTAAAATAGCAGGGCCCTTCCTCATCATGGGGTCTTCCATAAATGCCCCCACACAGAGGCTTTGGGGACAGCATGGCAGAGACTGGTACAGTCTTGTAAGCCCTGAAGTCTCAGATTATCATTAAGTTGGAGAAACCCTAGTTCAAAAATCTCAATGATCCACTTACAGAAGCGTCACATCATTCACCCATTTGGAAAAGTGAGAAAGTATATGGGTATTCATTGTACTGTTCTTCCAGCTTTTCTGACTGCTTGAACCTTTTTCCTAATGAAAAGCTGTGGGGGAAATGGAAGAAGAACAATTTAAATTTTGTAGATGGGGCACCAGTAGCTAAGCCTGCTTTCATCTCTGCTTGCTCCTCAAACTCCACTAAAATGATAGTGAAGGGATTAAACAAAAAAATATAAAGCATCATGGATAAAGAACAAGAGAAAAAAGTAATAAAGGACAAGATAAAATGAAGTAATCAAACTTTGGAAGATGGGAAGTGGATGGAGGACAGTAACCAACAGAGTGGAGGCATCAGAAACCTATGCACCTGCATAGTGATGCCACTGAGAAGCAAGACTGGCTGTGCAGGGACCAGAGAAGGCCAGGGAACCAGGGGAGGGGTTGAAGACACCTATTAAGGATCATGTAGGGACTTCAAAGTCCCAGTCAGCCAGATGCTGGCCCTTGCCAACCCTTGCAGGAGACCTGGTGTTTAATTTAATTGCTGGAGCACTTGACCCAGGGAAGCTTCAGAGGTGGGGACACTAGGGACACAGGGCAGGGTGAGGCACCAGCCTGAAACTGGGCATCATGAATGAGAGAGTCCAGCAGAAGCTGGGGAGTCCCTGCTCAGGAGAGGCTGAATGCACCAGAGGAGCATCTGACAGCTCTGCCACCTAGGATCCCAGTACTTGGCTGGGCACCCCGTCACCCTGCAGTTGGGAGATAATGACGGCCCTGGCCCCATGGAGAGTGCTTCCCATCATCTTTTCCTTAGTACCTCGTTAGGATCAGACAGCTATCGATCACCAACAGTTTGGGGAAAACCTCCATGCACGGGAAAGAAGGAACTTGAGGAAGGACTTAATAGGGAAGAGAATGGTAACATCCTCAGTGAGATACAAAAAAGTATTTGTATCCATGAAAAACAGGATACCATAAAAATGATAACATAAAGGAACAGAATAAGAATGTTCTTGGAAATTAAAAAAAAATAGAAAAAAGACAACTTCAAAAGAAGTCTCAGATTTTAAGATCATCTCAAGGAAATATTCTAGTAGCAAAACAAATAGAGGCAGAAGGAGAGAAAAGATGAGATAATTTGAGGATTAATCTTGGAGGTCCAATATAGGATGAAGGAATTCCAGAAAGAGAACAGAGTATACTGTAGGGAGGAAATGAACAAAGAATACAAGACAGTCTCTTGGCACTAAGGACATTAACCTCTGGATTGAAAGGGACCCCAAATGCCTTGGACAATGACTTAAAAAACACCCCACACCAAAGGTTATTGTCAAGTGTCAGAACCCTTGGGATAGAGACTCTGGAAACTCTCCAGGTTGCTATAAAAGCTTGGGAATTCAAGGAGCACAGCAAGAGCTGGAAGACAAGTGACTTCAAAAGGCTCATCTAAAATGGTTTTTCAACCTCGAATTCTGTACCCAACTAAAATGATTGTGTGGGAGCAGAACAAAGTTGTCAGGAATGCAAGGGTCTTAATCATCTTTCCTGGGCTTGAACTCCCTTTCTCTGGCCAAAATGAAGAAATAAGCCCAGAATGAAGAAAGAGGTGCTTGAAAATGGTACCCAACACATGAAAGAGTGACAAGAGGAGTTGCCAGGATGGAAGGAAAGGTGTAGCTGTGCCTCTGGCCCCAAGAGCTGCCTGTCCAGGCTGGAGCTGGAAGCTCCATGCCCGCCAGGGTTGGTCTCCAGGGAAAAAAACAGAACGGATGCGGTATCTGATACACTTAACCTGTGTTGTAGAAAACACTATAGAGAAGCTGTGGGAGAATAAGGGGGAAGTTAGCAAATGAAAAGGAGGACATCGTTACTGCTACAGAAACAGACTGTAGAGTAAATAAGGCCAGTACTTGGCCCAGCAAAGAACAGTATTTATGTAGTGGCACTAATGTAAACACTGAATGCTGTTTTTACCAAAACTTGAGTTTGTGAAAGGATAGGGGAAGGGGTGGTAAAGTTTTGATCTTCCAGAGTAAGAAATAAGCAGTAAACTTGAGCAGTCAAGAAAGAAAGAGCATTTGTGGGTTGACAGCTGTCTCTGGGGAGTGGGCCAGGCTGTGTGGCGGGGGGGCAGGGAATCTTCTATAGAAGACTGTAGTCTTTTTTTAAAATTTTATTGAAGTGTAGTTGATTTACAATGTGTTAATTTCTGCTGTACAGCAAAGTGACTCAGTAATACATATATATATTCTTTTTCATATTCTTTTCCATTATGGTTTATCACAGGATATTGAATATGGTTCCATGTGTTATACAGTAGGACCTTGTTGTTTATCTATAGTCTTTTAAAATTGTTTGACTCTAAGCTATGGGCATGCCCTTTGAGAAATTAAAAATAATTAAAAACATAACCCTGGTGATTGTCCCCTCCCTTCCCCTCAGTGAGCATGTGCCCCAGTGTGAGAGACTGGAGGTAGACACGCCAGCCAGTGCTTGCAGCCTCATGGGCTTTGCACAGAGCTTGCACGGGCTGTCTGCCCACCTAAACAAAATCTGCGTGTTCAGTGTGCATGTTTTTCACATCACTAGGCCCCTGCATGCAAGTGCGATGCTTTACGTGGTCCTCACCACTGTGGCACGGGTGGTACTGGCCACACGTGGTATTTGGCTCTCACCCTGTTCCAAGGGCCTGGCCCTGCCTGCCTGCTGTGCAGCCGCTGTCCTACATGGTTAGGGGAAAACAAGGTCTGTTTATGGACTTTCTGGCTCTGAAGCTCACCTGGGATGCTAGCTATTAATCAGGTTTTTGTTTTCTCCTTGGCTTCCAGGCATTGAAGTCGATATTGATGTGGAACATGGAGGAAAGAGAAGCCGCCTGACACCCACCTCCCCAGGCAGCTCCACCCCAGAGGAGAAGTGTAGCTCTCAGACAAGCAGCTGCTGCTCCAACCCCAGCAAGCCGGACGGGGACGTGGAGGGCATGACACAGTCTCTGGTGGAGCAAGTGAACAAGATTGCTCTGGAGTCGGGGGGTCAGCCTGAGGCAAGCACCCTCCCACACCATCCCCAGGTTGTGGCCGCCCAGAGCTTATCCCAGCAGCCCAAGCACAGCCCTTCCCTGGCACTCACACAGCCAGAGGGACCCATTTCTGTTGCAGAGTGTCGGTGGCATTTAAGTTGTTCTGTGAACCCTCCACTAGAACTTTGTAAAGCAAAAGCCTCTTGCCAGTCCTCCGTGCCCTGACTCTCCCAGGCTGTGGTCAGGTGGCCTGTTGTCCTTGTGCTCATGGGGGGTTTTGTTCCAGGAACAGATGGAGTCTGATAACTGTTCAGGAGGAGATGATGACTGGACTCATTTGTCTTCAAAAGAGGTGGACCCGTCTACAGGTGAACTCCAGTCTTTACAGATGCCTGAATCTGAAGGGCCAAGCTCTCTGCACCCTTCCCAGGAAGGACCCACAGGACTGAAGGAAGCTGCATTGTACCCACATCTGCCACCAGGCAAGAGATTTCAAGTATTTTGTATTTCTATCTTTTCCGTTCAGAGCATCCTATCACTTGCTTTTAGCAACACAGAAAGACATCATGTTCCGTACTGCATGGCTTGTCTGTTGACGTAAGAGAAAATTGGGAGTTGGTTTTGTCCTCTGTCTATACTGAGCTTTAGTAAGCTCAGCTTTCTAAAACTTAACATCCAGACCCAGAATTACGAAGGCAGATGTGATGTGGTGGCGGCACTGGCTTTGGAACTACTAAAAGTGGACTCGGGGTCCATCTTCACTGTTTCCTCATGGAAAGTGCTGACCCTGGAGCAGGGGTCCTAGCCAAGGCTCCGGTAGGAGCCAGGCAGGAAGCCACCGTGTAAAGTAGGTGGCGTGGAAGCAGTAGGGTCGGGTGGAGAGTGTGCCAGCCTGGAGAACTCACACTGAATAAAAGAGGCCACTCACACCCTGCTCTGGTTCATCACTGTCACATGGCAGTGACTTTTAAAACAGTATTCAAGTGGAAATCCATTCTGTGGGCCAAATTTAGCCCTTGGGCTACCAGTATTTATCTTCTCTGCCTTAAAGCAGGGAGTGGCAAACTATGCCCTATGGGCCAAGAATGATTTTTTCATTTTTATAATGGTTGGAAAAAAGTCAAGATGGGAAAATTGGATGAAATTCAAATTTGTGTTCATAAATGTAAGTTTTACTGGAACACAGCCATGATCATTTGTTTACATTGTTTGGCTGCTTTTATGCTTGTAACAGCAGTGTTGAGTAGTTGTTACGGGGACAAATAGCCTGCAAAGCAGCTTAAAATATTTATTCTCTGACCTTGTATAGAAAAAGGTTGCCAGTTCCTGCCTTGGAGGGTCCCTGTGAGGGTTAAGACCTTGTAAAAGGGCCAGGCCCTGCAGGCCCTGGGTACTTGCTGGCTGGACAGGATGCTGCCACATAACAGGTCACATTTGGGGCCCAGTGACTCTTCCTCATGGCTGTCATTACTCTCTCTGGCAGAAGCTGACCCCCGGCTGATTGAGTCCCTCTCCCAGATGCTATCCATGGGGTTCTCTGATGAAGGCGGCTGGCTCACCAGGCTCCTACAGACCAAGGATTATGACATCGGGGCTGCCCTAGACACCATCCAGTATTCAAAACACCCACCGCCGTTGTGACAAAGTCCGCTCACCCATTCTGTGTCCCCTTTCTTCTCTCATAGTTGTGTTGAGCCTAGTATAGAACCCCAGTGCCTCTGTAAGGGCCAGTTTCTTTGCATTTTTCTTCCAGAATCTGGGTGGTGGGGACGCACAAAGCCATTTAGGGCACTAGAACAAGTGACACGAGGGGGTAATTCCAGCCAGCTTACTGTGGGCGCCTGCCTCCTTGCAGCCGGGGGTGCCCGGCTCCTTGTAGCCGGGGGTGCCCCCCCTGGGGCAGAGTGAGAGACTCCTTGCTGGGGAGGACGCAGAGGCCACACTGCATCATATTCCCGCTCTCTCCCTGCAGGATTACACCAGCAGTCCAGAATAGATCTTGCCTAATGTCCTTCTGCTTTTTTGCTTTTTTTAAAATGACTATAGTACACTGACATGTAATTGATTTTCTGCTAGAAATCTGATATACTCTGAATTTGGCTAGGGTATAGCCAACATTCTGTTGGGGCGGATGAGGCTGTGCTGTAGTGATTACTAGAGGGTAGGACAGCTCAGGACTTTGGCTAAACATCTGGGAATAAAGAAGGGCTGACAGGGGAACTGATGTTGTTCACTGAGTACTGCCCGTTTCATAACTACTGTAATTCTCTCATTTCCCAATGTGTCAACTGCTTTTAAAGTAAGAAAATCGCTTTGTAGTCATTCTGTTATATTTGTAAACAATCTTAATTAAATGGTATAAGCACTTTAATCAGAGATGGTGCGATGAGAGATGATCTGTTTGATAGTCATGTTTATTGTTGGTAGTTCCCGTAAGTCATCCTTAGTCCTACTATTTAAAAGCAACTTGGGGAGCCCTGTTTCCAGTGGCACAGAGGAGAAGGGCTCTCTTAACAAATACGTCTACATTAGTAACATTAGTTTCAACTCACAGACGGTCATCAAAGTCCGCTCCAGTTTTAAAGAGGTCACACAGTCGCAGGAGTGAGGAAGGCTCCTGCATCCCTTTGACCAAGGCCCCACCCTCTGCCCAAGGGCCTGTGCCCCCTGACTGCTCAGGGGTCTTTCCGCAGAGCCTCTTGGGCCCAGGCATGGGAGTGTGTGTAGCCTGAGGAAGCTGGAGTGCACCAAGGGTCCTGCAGAGGCCTTCCCTTGGGGTCTGGGTCCTGGGGGTCCCCTGCTCAGTCCGTGCTGCTCGGGCTGGCCTGATGCCTCTTTGCAGTGGGGTCAGGGGCTCCGTGCCCAAATGTGAGCTATTTCCAAGTGGTGGAAGAAATTGTTTCCACTTAGGAGACACGGTCCTGACCTGCTGGGCAGGACACGGTGGTTCCCCCCGAGGAATGACGAGCTCCCTGGTGTCCCAGTCCTCACGACTGCTTCCTTCTTTGACCTTCCCTGTCAGGCCAGTGTGGTCCTGAGGTGGAAACACAAGATGATGGCTATGTTCTCCATTCAGAAGAATGCCCAGCAGGCTCAAGGGACAAGGAGAGGAGGTCCTGTGCCTGTACTAGTCCTTGACTGTACCTCTGGGCGCTGACACTCTGCTCTGTGCTGTGTACTATTCTGTAGCCTGGCAGGCTAGGGACATGCCTTGATTTTGACGTTTTGCAAAGCACAGCAAATAAATGCCCTCTCCGTCACTCCAAATCCTCTGCCAAATTCCATGACCAGCCTTCCCAGAAAAGGAAGATGTTCTCCTGTGATCAGGGTATGTCATGGGGACCTCAGCATCAGGTGAGGGAGTGCCTGAGGGGTGCAAGCAGGAAGGGCCCTAGAGACCACCTGGAAAGACCATGTGCTTATTGCCAGGCAGCTGGGAAGGTCTCTCTAGAACCACGTTCAGGGTTTTGAAGCTGTAGAAGTGGCTGCACAGAATACCCCAGGGGACATGACAGTGACAGAGGCCTGGCTTCTCCCTTCTACCTCAGAAAACGAGGATGCATTGAAAATTGGGTTTCACTCCTAGAAAAATGGTACAGATGAACCGGTTTGCAGGGCAGAAATAGAGACACAGATGTAGAGAACAAATGTATAGACACCAAGGGAGGAAAGTGGCGGGGGGTGGGGTGGTGGTGTGATGAATTGGGCGATTGGGATCGACATTTATACACTGATGTGTATAAAATGGATGACTAATAAGAACCTGATGTGTATAAAAATAAAATTCTAAAATTCAAAAAAAAAAAAATTGGGGTTTCACTGCCTACAAAGGAATTTGCAAGCAATGACAGGAGGGACCCTGCATCACCACCCCCAGGCAGTATGGAAGAGGCTCTGTGGGCAGTTGTTAGTGATTCGAGACTGCCAGCTCTGCCACTGATTTGCTGTGACCTCAACTGAACCTTCACCAGCCTTAGTTCCTCACCTTCAAAACAAAACAGGCTTGTGGTAAGAATTAGTGCATAAAAAATGTTTAGCCCTGGGACTGGTACATCAGTTAACTGTCACACTCATCATAATTTAGAGATTCAGGGCCACATCCTTACCTGGGGGTCACATAGCCAGTTAGTAGCAACACCAGAGTTTGATCGCTGCCTCTTGGCTTTGGACGGGCACTCTCCACTACTGTCTGAAGCTGGCCAGAACGACCCTGGCCTATGTTGGGGCATGGCAGTGACAAATGCCTGGCATGGCAGAGTTCCTCTGCCTGGGTGCCTGTGGCATAAAGCAAAGCCTGCATTCTGCGGCCTGGAAGGTCTAGGTTTGAAGCATCAGGAAGAGCAGATCCTAGGTGAAGAGAGTGCCTCAAATGCATAAGAACCTACCTGGATAAATGAAGGTGACAGTTCCTCAGAAACCCAGGGCAGGTCCCAAGCTGAACAGTCTGACAAAGACCCGGTACTCCATGCAGAATGAAGGGAACGGTCCTGCTGCAGAAAAGCCCTACTGGTCAACCTTGATTGCCGCCACGGCATCAAGCTGCCCTTTTGACCCCGAGTTAACATCAGTGACAGGAGGAGCATGGCAGGGCAAAAGTGCAGGCCAGAGAAAGGAGTTGGCTTAAGACACAGAAAACAAGACACCCATGTGGGAAGTTGGGCTTTTAGGGGGTGTAAGTCTGATACTTTAACTGTCCACAAAACAATTTAAAAATCCTGCGTCTGCTCAATGGCCACTGGGACACTGTCCTCAATCACTGACCTTCAGGGACTTCAAGGTGACCTCACAGTTTCTGGAGTCCTGGACATTAGGGCTGCATGGAGGCTGGACTGTGCTCTGGCTCCATTTCCTGGCAGAGGAAAAGTGCTGTCAAGAATCCAGTCTTTCTTGTAATTACAATGGAAAAGAATCTCAAAAAGAATATATATATATAAACGGAATCACTTTGCTGTACACCTGAAACTAACACAACATTGTAAATGAACTATACTTCAATAAAATTTTTTAAAAAAAAGAACCCAGTTCTACCATTGAACAGTGACCCTTAGTCTGACTTGGTGGTCTGACACCTAGCACAGGTAGGGACCTTGCCATCCCTTATAGCTTCCCAACTGGCTGCTCAGCTTCTGTGCCACTGCCAACAACAGGTTGCCTAATGACATCTAAGGCAGTCCATTTCTCTGCTCTATAGCTTGTAGTTGCTAGAAAGTTCTTATTCTGAACTGGAATCTACCTCCCAATAGCATCTGCCCTGGAAGAGCCATCCTAATCTAGATGAGGCAGTCTCTCAGAAAACTCACTGAGGGACTTCCCTGGTGGTCCAGTGGTAAAGAATCCGCCTTCCAGTGCAGGGGACACGGGAATTAGGACCCCGTGTGCCATGGGGCAAGCAGGCCCGCACGCCACAAGTACTGAGCTCACACGCCGCAAACTACAGAGCCCACGCACTCTGGAACCCGCATGCCACAGCTACAGAGACCACACACCCTGGAGCCTGTGCGCCACAACTACAGAGAGAAAACCTGCATGCTGCAAATAAAGAAGAGAAAACCCACATGCCACAACTAGAGAGAAGCCCGCGCACCACAATGAAGGGCCCGGATGCCACAATGAAAGATCTTGCATGCCTCAGTGAAGATCCCGAGTGCTGCAACCAAGACCCGATGCAGCCAAGAATAAATAAATCAATCTTAAAAAAAAAAAAAAAAAGAAAGAAAGAAAACTCACTGAAATGCAGATTAAGACTGGAGAAGAGACCCATGAAAGTCAGGTCTTTCCTGCTCTCAGCTAAAGGTTCCCAGGCCTGTCGGCTTCTCTGGCCCCACTTCACTTTCTCAAACTTGCCCTTAAGTTCTTCCCCGAGGTCAGTGCAGTCTAGACGTTCAGAATTAAGTGAGCATCATAAAAGGCACCCCCACTGGAATCCTGCCTAGCCCTCACCTCTGCACTGGCTGCACCTGGTGCCTGGCCACACCAGAGGGCCTGTGGTGATGGCGCCTGCTGGCTGACATCCCTCAGGCTTCC